ACTGAAAATTCAGGCTTCTAGTTTAATCCACTACGAAGTTATAGGGGGTTGAAAATAGCCTGAATTGCTTCGAGAACAGTATAGTACGCCCGTGCCGCTTTTTTGCTCGACTTGGCGGGGGCACTGCCGTGCCCCCAGATATTTTGCGCAATAACATAATGCTTTCGTTTTTATACGTCATTTAACTCCACTGTAAAATACACTGGTTTTTTTTTCATCAAATACTGTATTTTTCTCGCAAACACCGTATTTTTAAACACATTATTTTTGATAATCCGATCTGGCAACATTGGGTTCACACGAAGTCAAGTCATAGTGAGTTGGCCTAAAGGTCTAGATACCAGGCCTTAAACTCAAAAAAAAAAAAAAGAAGTAATAGGGTAGACCAGACTAGCTTGCTATTATAGCTTGCTACATATTTATTATTTATTTATCTATGGGGTAGACCATAGAGGAAAGTAATATATCGGGGTAGACTAATATATACAGAAAATCAAAGTTCAAACCATAGAGGAAAGTAATATATCGCACAAACCAAAAATAAAGTTGTAGTACAAGAGCACAAACTAATAAGAGTACTAATCAAAGTTAGATTCAATTGAGGTTAGTATTGTAATAATTAATTATTTTATTCAGTCATCAGTTTACTGATTCTATATATAATACTGATATTTAAGCTTTCTATTGTTCTGCATAGGTTGTTGCTAGAATAATTTAGAGTGATCTATGGAATGAAGTATAGTGATAGCGATAGGGCTTTTTAGTGTAGGAGTCTGGATAAAAACTATCCACTGAGACGTATATTTGCTGTCATGCAACAGTACATCCGCTTTTGTGTTCTGATTTAAAATGTAGAGAAACAGTTTATTATGAGACATTCTATTTCAGCCCTAAACTCAATCTAGCAAGAATTCTACATACGGCAGCTTGCCTAGCATACATTCAGGAGTTACATTGCCTATACCCATAGCTTTCTTTGTTTGAAGTAGGTAATTTTGACCAGAAGGTGTTTTTCTCTCTGAAGAACTGTAGTTTTGTCACTACAATAGTTAACAATCAAGAATTCGTTTCCGTAATAAACTTTTCCATACATACTCTCTGCCTACCACACTGGGTGATAGGTGTGAGAATTTGTTTATGTATGTTGTGAAAATTACTTAATAACTTCATATTTATGCCAATAACTTGGAATACAAATGATATTTAATTCCAAATTATTGGGTGCATCCATGGTCATAATAGGGGGGAGGGGAATAAGTTCTTTAGTTTTTATATATTAATTTTTGTTTTCCACATTTTGCCACAATTTTGTTTATCTTACATTTCACTACATTGTGGAATGATGTAAAAAGACTGGCATAATCTGTACGTATAAAAATGTAAATTGCAGATGTCTGTACATTTTATGTTTTTGTAAAAAATTGATTGAGAGGGTCTAAAAATAAGTAACTGAATACATTTCTATATTTTTTAGAATTGGCTGTTTGTCTTTTTAACATATCACATATAAAGTACTAATTTATATCAAAATAATCAGTAAGGAAGTTTAAAGCATATCTTTGTGTTTAATTTAGTCTTTGTTTCATTAAAAGCGGTTCATTCTATCAAAAGTTACGAATAATATTCTGAAGTATGAGTATGAATTATAATACAAATTTGTTCAATGGCAGCTTTGAGTCAGTGCATGTTAATCTAATATCATAAATCATAATGAAATCATGTAAAATAATTTTCCATAATGATATCATTATATCTAAAATGCAGTAAACAAAAATAAGAGAGAATAACATAATAAATATAAACGAAAAATATAATTAAACTTGGTATCTCAAGTACGATAGTTAACCAATGTTCTCGATAGATGGTGGTGCTGTAATACATAAAGGCAGGATGTGTTTTTGTTTCCTGTAGAAGTATCTTCATAACAAATTTATCTTAATATATATAAATTACATGTCATATTGTTTGTACATGATCGACTCCTAAACTACTTCACCAATTTTGATCAAATCTTCACACCGTGTGCGGTTTGGTCCAATTTGAGAGATTTTTTTTGCGAATTTACGGATTTTTTATAGGATATGGTCCAATTTGAGAGATAGGATAGTTTTTTTACCTACAATTATTTTTGCGAATTTACGGATTTTTTATAGGATATGACAAAGGATCGTCGAAAAGAGCAGAACAATGTCTGCCTGGTAAGCTAGTTTATTTATAAAATTTTGAATAAGAAGTTTTGTTTAAAATGTTTTTCTTTACCGCTGAGTAACCTAAATGAAAATTTAAAAGATATATTAACAAAGACTACTTTTTGTGCCACCAGGGCGGCGCCACTTAAAATGAGGTGTAATATTTGACAGATTTCATAGTCGGGAAGTTAATTTGTTTGAAAATTGTAATGGCTAATGTTTCTTCCTGTACCATTACTTATATTATGTAATAATTAGATTAAAAATAAATAAACCAAACCACAGATATTCATTAAAATAGAAAAATCAAAAAATTTGTTAATAATGTACAAAAAATTAGGGAACAAACCACAAAGGCATTGTTTTGTATATTAATATAATACTCTAGAAACTGATAAACTTTTATTAAAGACTAAATTATCAATTAAATGACATTGTGTAACAAAAAACTTGACCTCAATGTCAACTATTGACATCATGTGAGCGTAAGATTATTTGCCCTCATTACGTTGGTTTCGGCTAGGATCGTACTTTCTTCTTTGCTTCGTTTGTTCAGCTTTTAAAAGTTCTGATATGTTTTAGTATCAATTGCATCGCAATTTGTCTTTTATTTTTAGAATTGATGTTAACATCGCCATCTCTCTTTAAATTTATACCTATAATAAAGATGGTGATTATATGTGTCTATACACAAATTAGGTTTTACCTTAAAAGAATGTGTTAGACATAGGTATTAACATCGGTTATGATTAGAAATGGGCCGAACATGGATTTCACCGAATACGAATATTCGGCCGAAAGTTCGGTAAAACTTTTACCGTATCGAATATTCGGCCGAACATTATTCGGCAGGATCACCTCGGTACTTAACCAATTTATGTTGAAACTTGTTACCGTTATGTAAAAGCGCGCGGGATTAGCGCCGGACCCTGCCTTTCGCTCCCCACCACATCTGACATGTTATTGCATCATCTAGTACTGAGCAAATTGCCGGCACTTGCTTATGTTTTGACTATTTTTGTGAGAGAAAAAGTATTTCGTTGTGTTATTCTTAGTAAAAATTGATGATTATAATATGATAAGAATATGTGGAGGAGATCTACCATTTGGACTTATTTTAGAGAAACTGAGGACCAAAATAAAGTGAAATGTACTAATGTAATGTTTCTTTGTTTGATTCCAAAAACATTTTATCAAGCTTTCTATTCGCTATAATTGGAAATAAATCTACAGTGCATCAAAACATAACGTTATACAAGTAGATTTAACCCATAAATAAAATATACTTTCAACAGTAAAATTATGAAAGACATGGCATTACTCAATTCATACATTTCAATACAGTGGATACTTTGAGTACCACATTAACGAATGTTCGGTAATTTAGCCGAATATTCGGTAAAGCTGCCGAATATGCCGAACACCGAATATAAAAAGAATATTCGGCCCATCTCTAGTTACGATGTAGATGAGGTGTTTTATTCCACGAATTCGCTTAAAACGTAACACCTACAACTTTGCTATGAAAATTAACAAAGCGACTTGCAAGAGTGGATTCGAAGTGTGGAGAGTGTCAGAGATGGTTGCAATACTCTAAAGTTTGGAAGGACTTAGAGGTTTATCGCATTACTTTATGATGCAAAAATTATCAATTCTTCTTCTATCCTTCATCAATAGCCGGTAAAAGGAGTGATTTATTATAATTTGAACGGTTTGCAAACAAAATGACAATATCAATACATCTTGCATCTTTGACGTTGCTGGCCAGTATGGGTATAACTAGCCAGTCTAGTTGCGAATAACCTGTCTGGGTATTTTGTCTGACTCTGACGTAACTGATTTGTTTATAGCGTCATATATCGAAAGCCGTTACATTTTTCTGGCGTTTTCCATATTCGCCTCTTACTATACTTCCAGGAGGTGTGATGGTGCACATTAAAGAGTGATGGATTCATTTACGCCGCTACTATACAGCAAACTAACATTCGCTTCCTTTTCATTTTTTTATAAATTAGTGTAATTGTTAACCCATTTTTAGTTTCTTTTTTATATTATGTTAGACGACATTAGTACGACATCCTCCATGTTGAAATATTCTATGCACTTAATCGGTTTAATGATGAAATTACTCCGTATACTAAAATTATCTATACTATTATTGTTTGAGTTGAAGCAGTGAGATGTCGTTTATAAAATATTATCAACAGTCCCAAGAAATGAAACTTCAAAAAATTTTGAAATTCTGTGCGAACAAAGTCGCAGGCACACCTAGTTTAAAATAATAAGAAAAAGAGGACTGTAACTAGTGTTTGTCACTTTCATGTAACTGCTTGGTAGACAAACATCACCCACTGGACGAAATGGGGTGATGGATATCCTTAAGCCACCTTAACATAGGCTTTTATTATAACCTTTTATTTATGGGTAAATGGCTAAGCATTACCACATCCATAGGGTAAGGACAGGTCATTATGGACTTTCATTGATTAAATCCCACCTGACTTAGCTCTGGTGATGTGTTGAAGGTTTGACACAAATCTTTAGGGCTAGCAGAACACTGTCTGTACATTTGCATCTTACTTGGTGGTCTTGGTGGTTTTTGTGCAACAACAACTTCTACCCCAGATTTCATGGCATGTCTTAAGTAGACGATCGCCATTCATATTTTATGGAATTCATGAAAAGAAAATCTTAATTATAACTTGTACTTTTGCTGGATTGTGAAAGAGAACAAATTTTTATTCCTCTCAGTTGTTGAGGATCAAATGTGTGGTAATAGTTCTTAAGTAAACTTTATTGTTTTCAGACAACATGTCAGAATCAGTAGTAGCTTCAGGAGCATCGGTAGCTAGTGCTGATGAGCAGCGCTCAGGAGGTATAGTAGCTTTTAGTAAATTTTTAGCGGCGCTGTCGTCGCGCCACTAGTACACCGAAACATACCGAAGCCTAAATCACGCTATCAACATTCCGAATCATGAACAGTATATATAGAACATCTCCGAACTATCATATGGAGTGCTGGCCGCTCCCCGGGCAGAACACCTTGCCCGGCGGGAGATCTCCCCTTTTCCTTCCACGGCCACAGTGGTGACCACCCTACGTGATCTGAACACGCAACCAACAACCTTCGGAAACTTCATCAAGCTTCATCATCGTCGTAGAATAACCCCACCCATTCGCTCCCGAGCAGATATCGTCTGCAGTCTTCATATCCTGCAAGCCATCTAGCTTCACAAGGTTCATCGCAGCACTGGAATAATAATGCTTCCTGTTTCTTAAAGCTACTCTCTGTGCTATACAGTGATCGGTACGGCTCTGAGCCTTACTGCTCGCCTCTGCTTCACGGCACTCTCGCAGATTACTTGCCTTCTTCTCAACTCACCGCAGACTACAAGGCAATCTCCTGGCACTTGAACATTCGTCGGCAACGAGGCTGCACTATCGACCTCCGGTCTGAGCAGGGGGGTGATGAAGCAGCGCTGTCGTCGCGCCACTAGCACACCGAAACACACCGAAGCCTAAATCACGCTACCAACATTCCGAATCATGAACAGTATATATAGAACATCTCCGAACTATCACACGGAGTGTTGGCCGCTCCCCGGGCAGAACACCTTGCCCGGCGGGAGATCTCCCCTTTTCCTACCACGGCCACAAATTCATATTATTTTTGTCATTTCTGACAATGACGATGAACTGATGTCGACTACGATGAATTCTTATAAGAAATACTTTTCATTGTGGTAGAGCTCTTATGTCTAGACTGTATATTAATCGGTATCATCTAACTCTGCTGTCAAGCAATAGTGTACCCATTGGTGTGTTCTTGTTCGAAAAGTAATTTCTTATAGAATAGGGGTGACAAACGAGCACACAGTCTATCTGATGGTATTTGGATGCTGTGACCTACAGACATCTACTTTTTTCCTCGCTTAAGAATCAAAATGCAGATACGTTCTCACCTCTGAACACTAAGACGGAATGCCTCTTTTTCAGTAAAAATGGTCTCCAGTTATCATATGAAGCACTTATCATATGAAACTGGTTTTTTTTCGCTGATATTCAGTGACAGTGCAGTCCAGCCCTGGTCGAGCTGACTCATTTGTGCTATAAACATAATGTAGCTACAGCGTGGTTCTACCACGTAAACCAGAGTTTAATCATAGGTTTATTTTTACATCATAATCTTCATAGGTGGCAACTTATCTCTAACCTTTGTCTGAAGATGGTTGTACTGAGGCACTGACTTGTCTAAACCTACGTCCAATTTAATGTGTATTTGAAAGCCGATACATGAAAACAATCAATACCAACTTTTACTCTATGCTTCTATATTCTCATAGTTTGTAAATCGCTTCCAATGAAGCAGTAACTACCATCAGTACACAACAAACAACTCATTGAAAAATCTGCCTGTATGACTAACAAAGCAAAAGCACACAAATCCTGATTTTTTTTTATTAATGAAGTTATGAATGTGACAGTCCAATTGATGGGTATAATGCTATCATTATACACAGCATTACCATAATGCTTCATATGTGTTGACAACTCTTAAAGGTAAAGATGGCATGCCTCACTGTCAGAATTATATTGGCTTTCCATCCCCTTCAGATCAAATACTGCAGTGGTTGTTTTGTTTTAGAAGTATGTAAGTGTGAGTGTTACTCTCACAGAATCAAGTAAGTAATGCATAACTACTTTTTTATTTTTCAGCAGGTACCGATGAGAAAGTATATGGTGGGTGTGAAGGTCCAGACGCGATGTACGTAAAGCTTGTGTCATCCGACGGGCACGAGTTCATCGTGAAGCGTGAACATGCGCTAACATCAGGCACTATCAAGGCTATGCTCAGTGGACCTGGACAGTTTGCCGAAAATGAGGCTAATGAAGTTAACTTCAGAGAGATACCGTAAGTAATATATGGAAAATAATAAGTGAAATCCTTTTGTGCAACCATATAGTTGCAAGAGAACCTACATTAATGTTCTCGAAACCAAATTTTGGTCACGGTGGCCATTCTTAAAAGTGACTAGTCTTCTGCGCAGGATAGGGTTATAGTGCCCAAGTGTAACTTCATTTCTGATTCTATTATTCAGAAAAACTCCAAGCATACTCCTATCCATAGCTTGCTGACTGACGATAAGCTTCCTAATACGGCTAGCAGTGAAGAATCACATCTTATTTTATCATGGCACCCAGTGTACTTCACACACATTCTTGTTCACTCTGCTTAACTTAGAAAGTGAAAATTATTTTATTTTAAAAGTAATAAGTAGTATGGTAAATTATTTATTTAATAAGATAATTTTCAACCATAGGTGCTGCATTAAAACACAAGATAAAATTTTAATTTCATAGCAAATAAATCTTACAATCCTTAGTTTTAGACAAAAATTTTTTTAGCGTCACCTACTTCATTCATTGTAATTATATTCTTGCAAATAAAGATAATAATATCAATAAAGAAAATAGGTACAAAAGGCTCTACATGAGCCTTTTGTAGATACAGTTGCCTCGCTCCACTGGCTACATTTCGGTGACCTTTTTGGGGAAACAGAGTTTTGTTTGTGCAATACAGGATCAGGTAATTAAGACCAACAACTATCGGAGATACATCCTCAGGGATGGCACCGTCGACATCAGTCGAGTTTGTCGCCATCCTGGTGAGTCACTTGGCATTTCATCTCCAGTTGTTCGACGCTTTCTATCTCTATCTCTAGTATTTGCACAGACACAACCTAGCTAGGATTTTACACCAGTAGCTCGCTCTGAAATACAGTCTCGTGGATCGAAAATTGCCTTATTTGATCGCGCCAGACTACTGGGACCAGGCCATCATCACAGACAGGACTATTCTTGCGAATAAGCCTAATATTGTGCTGATGGACTGAGCACAAGCAAGGATATTTTTGGTTGACATTACCATTCCATATGACGACAATTACGTGAAAGCCAAAGCAGATAAGAGAACGAAATAGCTGGACCTGGCTCATGAGGTGACTGACATGTGGGGTGGTCTGCCGACCGAAATGATTTCTGTAGTCATCTCTGCGAAGGGGCGAAACCCGATCAGCCTTTCTGGTCATCTGAGGCGTCTTGAACTCCGTGACGGGCCGGTCCGGGTTCAAATGCAGAAGGCGGAGCTTTTCGATACAGCCCGCATCGTTCGCCGGTTTCTTTCCCTCTACCCCTAACCCTCGGCCGTTTGGTCTCCCCTCCCGAGGGCTCCCATCTGGTTGGACTTTTATTTATTTTTGTATTATTCATTTATTTATGTTATATAAAATTATATATATTTATAATATCCTTTTATATGTTTATTCGGCCCAACCAGATGAGAATACTCTATAAATACCCCAAGAACTTTAAAAAATTATAAAAATAGATGTAGGGAAGTGACGACCCTATCGCCCGCTCACGTAATAGTTAAGGACATGTTTGCCAATCGAGCAAAATTAAGCTGTTTTTCGGGACATTTTGTGATAAAACTAAACCAAATCAAATATAACGAAAAACTACCATGTACATATATAGATTGTAGTAATAATAGTAGTGACTTTTTTGTTGAAAATAATAGTTTTTTATACTGTAAAAACCCGCTTGAGTTTAGGTCCATTTTTGGTTTATTATCAACATATTTTAAAATTTCTAAAAATAGTATAACTAGGCAGACATATTCAATAAAAAAGTGTTTATTTTTTCACTTATTTTATTATTTTGCTACACGTATGGTTGAAATCATAATAAGGGCTTTTTTATTGCCTATTTTGATTTATTGGTCAAAGATTTCCATGAAAGCACAATCCGCGCTCGGCCGCCGTCGTGAGTGGATGCCGTATTGCCTGTTTGCATCGGCTCATGCTGAAAAAGATAGCTGTATGTACACAAAATATTTAAAAAAAAAAAACAAATTTGATACATTAGTAAGATAAAATTATTATTTTTATACTCACAGTTTTTTATTTCGTTAAAAGTAAGCTGGATTTAGGTAGGATCCTACTTATTTTTCTCTAAGTATATTTTCTGTATTATGTAAGTTGTTACGGCCCTCATTTACTACCCCGACAAAAGTCGACTGGACTAGGGCCCATAGTAATCCAACTCGACGAGTAACCGACGGAAGGGCCCAATTTGGCCTACGGATAGTGAATTTATAACGGCTGCTATAATCAAATAAAAACTTACCGAGCTCCGGAGGTAGTGTCGACCACAAGGCACCGTCATGGGTAAGTAAATGATATGTTTGTGTGGTGTAAGAAAGTGTGTAATGTAACCTGACGTCACCGAGGTAATCGTTCAGCGGCTCCACATGCGTAGAATGCTCCACAAGGCGCTCACCGCTAACGGAACTCAAGTCTAGCGTCACTTAGCACAAACTATAATATAGGATAACGCGATCTCCGGATCACAAAGTTTAACGTTCCACACGAAAGCAAAATTCCTTCGTACACTTTAACTAATTTATTTTAACTTTAATTACTACACAAGCCAATCGTCGACGCAAATTAATAGCAATCGAAGTTAAATCAATAACTCAAACTTAAAAAAGCCTCGTTATCACGTATATTGTAGCGGCGCTGTCGTCGCGCCACAAGCGAAACACACCGAAGCCTAAATCACGCTATCAACATTCCGAAAAATAAACTGTATATATAGAACATCTCCGAACTATCACACGGAGCGTTGGCCGCTCCCCGGGCAGAACACCTTGCCCGGCGGGAGATCTCCCCTTTTCCATCTATGGCCACAGTGGTGACCCCGACGTGATCTGAACACGCAACCAAACAACCTTCGGAAACTTTAAGCTTCCTCATCGTCATAAAATACCCCACCCATTCGCTCCCGAGTAGATATCGTCTGCAGTCTTCATATCCTGCAAGCCAGCTAGCTTCACAAGGTTCTTCGCAGCACTGGAATAATAATGCTTCCTGTTCCTTCAAGCTACACTCTGCACTATAGTGTTCAGCAAGGCTCTGAGTCTTACTGCTCGCCTCTGCTTCACGGCACTCTCGCAGATTACTTGCCTTCTTCTCGAGTCACACGACATAATAGAGGCCGTCGTTATTTTATATTATACGACGCGGCAAAACTTATTAAAAACTCGCGACCTCTAATCGACACGGTCGCGTACTATCGAATGTTCTAGGCTAATCTCGCGACCCCCACCGGCGCGGCCTCAGCGCTCAAAGATTCCTGCCGACTGACAGGCGTGATCGCCGGCGCAAATGAATACATCCCCCCCCCGCGCAACCCGCCAACCGGTTCCTCGCCCGGGACGCGCCTTGCAAGTTTCAAGAGTTATGATTTAGCGTAAACAAACCCCCGTCCCGGGCATAAGGACTTATGCCCGCGAGTAAATTGGCAAACGAGATAGGGTCGCGACGGCACGTTGCAAAACCGAATCTCCAACCAAAACCTCGGCCACCCTAGGCACCCCATCCGGTCCATACGACAACTTAACAATGCGCCCACGGCGCAAATACAAACGCAAAGCGTTAGGTTCTTTAACTAACACGAGGTCTCCAACCCGAGGAGGATCAGTCTTGTCGGACCACTTAACGCGCTGCTGCAAAAGATGTCGATACTCTAGAGACCATCGGTGCCAAAAACTCTTAGTCATTTGTTGCAGCAGGTCAAATCTGCCCAACCGCGAAGAGTTTGTTTCCCTGAAGGGATACTCGGACAGGGCGTTAAGCGGCTGGCCAATCAGGAAGTGGCCCGGGGTTAGAACCTTCCAATCATTCGGATCGGACGAGAGGGGACAGTTGAGTTGAGCGCCGTCTCAATTTTACAGAATACAGTGGTGAGCTCCTCAAAAGTCAAAATAGCCTCGCCAATAACGCGACAGAGATGCGCTCTTGCAACCCCAACCACCGCCTCAACATGGGTAAGTCGGAGGGTCGAATTTCCACTGGATGCCCCTCCCGGACATCGCAGCAGCCAAATAAGTCCTGTTGCTGGGCAGAAATTCGACGACCTCCTTCAAATATCTATCCGTGCCCCTACAATCCGTTCCGCAATCAGACCGGATCATGTCCGGCAAACCGCGACGCGATACGAAGCGGCCCAGCGCGGCCACAAAGGCTTCAGTGCTGAGGGCACTGACAAGTTATAAGTGAACGGCCTTAGTGGCGAGGCACAGGAAAACGCACAGATAGGCTTTATGTGAACGCGCGTTACGAAGGTTGGAGGACTTGACGAGGAAGGGGCCAGCAAAGTCGGTTCCGACTCCAGCGAATGGTCGGATGGCCCTGACGCGGTCGGGTGGTAAGTCACCCATCATCGGCTGCGATATGGTGGCCTTCAATTTATAACAAGGTATGTACTTAATAATGACGCTCCGAATGGTGCGTCAGCCAGCCAAAATCCAAAACTCCCGCTGCAAAATAGCCGCATTATATTGTAGCAGCATTCTGAGCATGATGGTGAGTTACCAGCAACCGAAGCACAAGAGAAAAAAAACACAAGAACAAAAACAATACATCGTAAAAATGTAAAGTGTCACAAACTCTGATGGTAAGCTCTACTAACAATCTTTTAACATATAACGTTGAATGTTACGTTAGTTGTATGTAACGTTTGAATATAATAAGTTACTCAAATATTTTATCTTCAAATAAAACGTTAGATATTTAGGAGCCCTAGTCTTCCCACCAACCAAGTGGAGGCCACACAGCTTGTGAACCCGAATCCAATAGAGCGCGAACCGTTAAACAGTCGCCACTCGGGTTGTACGCCTTCACTGAGGCCGTCGGCAATAGAACAGTTTGACAAGTGGACTGTTGACGGCTCAGTGGATCAGTGGAGGCGGCCATGGTGGGAGCTAGGGCGGCCGCTACCTAGCTGTAGCGACATCGGACCGGCACTCGAACCGGGGGGCCCTGAAAGCGGCATTCCAGCGGCCTCTCA